GGTATAATCATGACCCACTAGCTCCAGAGTCCAGTTTTGACCGAAATGTCCAGAGAGCTGGTGGTCATGTTTGTCTCGCAATATGCAGAGACAAAGATCGTTAGAGTCCAGGACGTAAATGCGATTGTCCAGCCTTAACAGGCCTCCGGCATCAATGGACCAGTGGGAATTGGGGAGGTTGGGGGAAGCGATATGAGAAGAGATTGTGGTGTTGGAGGAGAGAGATGATAGAATGTCTTGATGGAGAGCCTCTGTGTTGATGAGTATGGCTGCCCAGATTACTGTGGCAGCTAGAAACATAACTCATAAGGATGCAGTGAGCTGCTCCGAAGTGAAGACTGGTCAGAAGTTCTGCAGATTGACACAAGTGTAGTCCATATCCTCTTCCTTGGGATAGACATTGTAGGCAGGATAATCGCCCATGCACAGACTCGGCTCGGATACCTGCTTCCACGATTAGAAAACCACTTCTATTCACGTGACGACTCGGTACGGAATTGGTATCTAAAAATAGCGCTAATTCGTACGATTCCGACGATATTAAGAACGTCCTAACCAGTGGAGATTTGACAGAGTTCCGTGTTGGAGAAGTTAGGCACCGGGCATGGGAATCTCAAGCGGCAACCCAGAATTCCAGCCTCACTCGTTCCCATGGCGTCTAATAAATCGGTAAAAATGCTCATTGGCTGCATAATAGTTTTATTCAGTCACATTTCTAATTTCGGCTCTTAATTCCATAAATCCATTAAGAAATCGCTTATTTTCTTATATTTTATATTTCACCATCATATTTCACTTATTGATTGATATTCTTTTATTGTTACTGTTACCCTTTTTTATTATTTCGCCTAATAAGGTACCCAGGTGCCATATGGCACCAATATTTTCCATCTATTCTTTCTAAAAATAATTATTAGATATAATCCTGTACATACCGGATTTTGAAAAGAAGTTCTCCCCTCCCCCAAATTCTCTAAGGTGCTAGGACGTGCTAGAGTGGGTGTGAGTGAGTGGAATCCAACAGTAGGAATAAGGGCAACTGTCTAGCCCACAACAAGTGGGTAGTAGATTAGTTGAGCCCGGACCTTGCGGAATCCTGGAGGACCCACACCGGAGTTAAGGATCGAGCATAGCAAAGTTAAGTCAAGAGAGAGAGTAGGAGTTTTGGAGAGTTTGGCCCCACAAGCTTAGTCAGCATAGAGAGCTGCTAGCCCTCTTTCAACGTCCCAGCATCTAGTCAACACATCTGGTTTTACTCCGAGTCTTCTGGGATGGAATCGGACAGTCATGTGGAATTGGGAGAGGAACACTGACCAGCAGGCTTGCCACTGAGTCAAGAGTTTGGTGGTATAGAAATACTCGAGGTTCTTGTGGTCGGTGACGACGTCGATTGGGGTTCCTGAACCTTCAAGATAGTGACACCAAGATTGGAACGCATCATGAATGGTGAGCAGTTCCTTATCATGGGTGTCATAGTTGAGCTCCAGTGCCAAAGGTGTTCTAGAGCAGAAAGTGATGGGGTGAATCTCTCCGTCATCACAATGGATGGAAAGGATTCCAGAGATCACGTAATTGGAGGCATCAGTTTCTACAATGAGAGGGGCATCGGGTACCCAATGCATCAGGATGGGGGCTGACATGAAGGATTCTTTCAGAGTGTTGAAGGCAGAATGACAGTCGTCAGAGAAGAGCCAGGGGGCCCCTTTACATGTGAGGCACGTCAAGGGGACCACAATGTCGGAGTATTGGTGGATGAAACACCAATAGAAGTTAGCGAAGCCAAGGAAGGATTGGACATCCTTGACTTTATGGGGCTCAGGCCAATCTTGGATGGCTTGGACCTTCTTGATGGACATGGTGAGTCTGGAGGGAGAAACCATAGTATCCATATGAAATCCGCATTTCTTCAGATTGGCATATTGTAAGGAGTGGTAACCCAACCCTTTAATTCCTATCTTCATTCTATATGTGTCTCATAATAAACATGTATAAACAATGTATATACAATAACGTGGGAATTTGGGAAAAGGAAGAGAACTCCTTTTCCTCCCCATTGTTGATAGTTAAAGCTCCATACAGCTCAACTTTATTGATGACCTGAGGATTGAGGAGAACTGGGGTTGGAACCTACACCAACCCCTTACACTTAATAGGCTTTATTCCCACACCCACACATGCACATTCGCACGCACGGGTTATTCAACACCACCACAACTTGCCTTCTAGACATGGAGCCTAGAAGGGTAACAAGTTTTCCCCCAGCTCTGCAAAGAGCTGACTCTATGTGCGAAAGCGCATATGGTTCCATGACCAAATCCAATGCTGGTGATGCCAGCATTGGTCAACCCAATCTTGACCAGATTGGTGTTTCCACCATGTCTCTAGGGCCTGCTGATCCCCTAGACACATCGAAAATGCCTTCAGAGGTAACACTGGCTGATATCTATCAGCTAGTGAAGTCCCAAGAAGAGGCACTGGACCGGATGGTACAGCGGATGTGTCAGGGCATGCCCCGCCCGACCCTCGCTCCGCTCCCCCGCTCCGCACCGCCTCTCCCCCTCCCTTTCTCATTTCCCCCTTTCTTCCTTTCTTTCTTTCTTTCTTTCTCACATGGACCACTGTCAGGGCAATAGCCCCGAACCCCGAGTCACATGTAAAATAGATACATATAGTCATGTGGGCAAGCGGGAACTTCCAGGTAACTGCTTACACACCACCCTAAAATACACTATCTTGTATCACTTATGGCCTTGTGTGCTGAGCCACCCTAAGACCTCACAGGTTCACATGTGCGCGCATCATTGTGTGAAACAGTGGGGGGAAGGATAGGGGGAATGGGGAAATGTGGGGAGAGGGTGGTTAGGGAAAGGGTGAGGGTGTCTGAGGGTGAGTGGGGTCAAGGGCTGTGCCCTGACACAAAGGAGGAGTGAAGGGCCAAGGCCCAAGGAGGAAGGAAGGAAGTGGGGAATGGCCAGCTGACTGAATAGAAAGGAAGCAGCAGCCCAAATAGGAATGAGGGAGAATAGCGGAATTGAATGGAGCAATGCAATAGTTGCAAGGTCCGATGTAAGTCCAGAAGTCCGAACTCGGAAGTCAAACTCCGGAATATTGGCAAAGGCAATTAAATGGAATGAGCTAACCAATACAATGGGTATAAGCGGAGGTGGGGTCAAAGTCCGAGGTCAGAGCTAAGACCGGAGGTTCCAGAGACAGAGATGCGAACGGGATTCCGGAGCAGAGGTCCAGAGTCGGGAGCATAGGTGTTGCATGCTCATCTGGAAGGTGTTGAGGTTGAGGTCGGACCCGGAATGTTCCGGAGTCGGATCGAAGGTGGTGTCAGAGCCGGAGGTGGGATAACCTCTTGGGAGTCAGCAAGGAGAAGGTGACAGAAGGGAAGTAGGGCTCTGGAGTAGTTTCGGAGTTCTGGGAGCCTGGAGCGGAGGTCGGGATTGTATGGATATGACAATTACCCTCATTTGGTGGGGTGATCCAACATGCTTTCCTGATGGAGATTCAAGCTACAGTTGAGACCAGGCAAAGTCTGAAAATTTCCCACAGCAAGATCTAGTGAATATATAAGCTTCATTTCTGCACCAAACAACTCCTTTTTGCTCTAGCGATGTAAAAATACAATGTTCAGATTTTTCCCTGTTTTTTTTTTTTAGCCATGGCAAAATTTTTTGACCCAATTTCCATAATAAAATTGATAAATAAGTGTAATTGGTACCCAGTAGGTTATGAGAGGATTAAATGACATTCAAATACAGGAGTTAAGCTCGGTTGAAAATTGACATATGTAGTCAAGTCAACATCGGTTGGAAGCAATTTGGACTCAACCGACAAACCAAGACACCCCTCCAGCTGCCACATTGTTGCATGTATCATTGGCACTTGTTTGGAATCATGTTTACTTTCAAAAGACCTTTCAAATGGTACCAGAGTTGGGCCCCAGCGCTTATTTTTTCGCCACTGGCAAAAATTTCATGGTTCAATGAAAATAAATCTTCGATTTGGGCAATTGTGACATACGGAAATGATACCGACACACAAAAGAAAGCGGTTTATACATGTTCAGGGAGTTTCCTTGCATCGGCAAGTTTTTTTCAAGTGTTTGCTTGGGCTCAACTGTATCTCCATTGCAGACTTTGAGCACTTATATTATCCTCCCAACCTCTGCGTCCCCTTGGCCCATAGTTCAAGAAGATCTAGATGTAAGATGTCGGACTAGCGATGTTGTCGCTCAGTCCACTATGCATGAACTAGAAATATATAGGGAGTAATCACCTAGCGATGTTGTCGCTGGTGTACGAATATTAGATACATGTTGTTAAACACATAAGTGAAGGAGAAAACCTAGACTCACCTCAGTCCGCTATGCATGAACTGAGGAGAAGTCGTAAGGTCCAAAAATTGGTGTTTTATAGTCAGGCGCTATCAATGCACACTGACTTTAGAAACAACTGATCCAAAAAGGGGAAACAAAGTAAATCTTAGCACCGCAAGACTCAACATCAACAACGTGAGTTGGCCTCAGCATACGCTTGTATCCCAAGAAATTTAACACTAGACACTGAATCGCCCGCTCACTCATCGGAGCTAGGAGACGGATGCCGCATTTGAGGGTTTAGATGAGTTGGAGGCTGACGGGGGGGAATGACGTTTCGAGACCGCATATTAAGTAATTCGAGACTCCCAGTCCGTCCTCTACAAATGATTCTTTGCACATCCTTCGCTCTTTGGCTTGCTCTGGTTCCTGAAGCTATAGTTTCGATTATGAACACACCAACACCTCTTTCGGCCTCGCCACATCAGTTGTCGGCGCTCGTACTGCCAAACTCGCTCAGCAACGCAAATGGCTAATACAGAAGGACCAAAGATTTGACCACCTGGAAAGCTTCCGGCACCCTCGTCCCTGCCTACCTGCCATGTGCGTTCGTGGGGGCCTCATGGCGGTGGTGTATTATCACTAAGTCTAGAGGGCCAGGTCCTATGAGAGGTGTCTTTAGTGTGCCCGCTGATAATCCACTGGGGAGCGCAGAAAGATGCGCCGCTGGTGCGTATCCTGCCGTTCCTACTCTATTCCCTGCATTAAACTGGTTACTGTCTTACCAGACAGTGCAAGCGGAAGCCATCACTCCGTATCGAAAAACCTTTCATTCATCCAATGGATGGCATTGAAGGCACTCCCTGTCTCGGTGTCATTCCAATTCGTCATCTTCCTCCATATCGCACATGCAGCCAGGTTCAACAGTCGAGCCAGTTTAGTCTGCGTGAGGAGCCTGACATTGTGGTGCCTGTGGCTGGCAATCGCACAACCATGGCTTCTTGAGGTGAGTGAGTAGGTCCAAGAAGCGAAACGGTTTCTGCCTCAGTCCGGAGCATCATTCCCCAGATATCGAGCGTTTCTAGTACTATCCCTCCACCCAGCGGAAACGGCACTTCGGTAGTTCATGATCCGAGCGAACCAAGTGGGGGGAAGATCTCCTTTACACTGAAAAAACTGGTTGATTCTCATTATTTCATTCCTTGGGTTTTGGCAGGGACTGAGATGTTCAACGGAGCATAATGGCTGAGAGGGGAGCTACACCTGAGGACCTTTGAGTAGGGGTACCGAAGTTCACGGTGAACCGGTTCGAACCGTGAACAAACCATGAACCGAACCAGGATGAACCAGAACCGCGGTTCAGTTCGGCCTTGGTTCAGAGATGGTTCGGTTCGGGTATGATGTTGGAATTTTGTGAACCAGGTTCGAACCGAACCGAACCACCGAACCGTTTCGTAAATCAGATGTTGACCTGACCCCATCACATCAACAACTGGATGCATCCAAAGCCAACCTGCTACGATATCAGCAGAAAAAGAAGGATGGCTGCTCAAGACGAACTCAAAAGGTGGAAAGAATATGAGGCTAAGGAGGCAGCAAAGCGTGCAGAGGATGTGTAATACTTCTTGCAGCTTAGACAATATATTAATTCTTCGTAAATCGCTGTAATTATAGGTGTCTGTTCGAACTGGTTCGAACCCGAACCGAACCGTTGTTGAACCATGGTTCAGTTCAGGTTCGGGTTCGCGGAATTCTGCCTCTGAACTGAACCGAACCGAACCATGGCACCCCTAGTCCTAACACCGGAGCGTACATGGGGGGAATATCTATACATGATGGTATTCTGGTTGGTGTATTCGGGTGTCAATGATCCCCAGGTTCTGTGGTGTCCATAGGTATTGTCGTGGTGATAAAAATAAAATAAGAAATGGAAACTGGGAAACGGTTCCATCTGTCCCCCTGCAAATTCTGTTCTGCTTCGTCTGTCCTGTGAGTCGGTCGGGCAGTGGTCCTTGCGATGTGTTTGTTGTTGTCGGTTTAATGTTTGCCGCCTGTCTTGGACTTTTTGATGAAGTTGGCAAGCCTTTCATCTTGCCCAAGAGGATGTGGAATTTCGTCTGGTTTCCGCGTCCTAGTAGGTATCTGTGTCTACTTGTCTGGGGGCATTCCGTCAGAATGTGGGCCCTCGTTTGTGTTGATTTACCGCATTGACATGCTCTATTCTCCATTGTGATTCCGAATCGGTGGTAGTACTCGCCGATGTGAGCATGTCCTGTTCGGAATTGGATTACGTGGCTGAATGGTTTTCTGTCGAGTTTTCTGAATCGTTTGGTGGGTCTAAGCTTCGGTGCGAGTTGGTTCGCTGCATAGAAGCCCGATCTCGGGGGGTTTGGTGTGTTCGTCCATCGGTGAGTCCATGTTTCGGCCATCTCTCTCCTGCACAGGCTCTCTATGTACGAGAGTGATTTAAAGTTGGGTCGGGCTGGTCTAAGTCGTGCGCCTTCTTTTGCTAGCTGGTCGGCTCTCGATGAAGGTGCTGTGAGGTAGGATCCAGGCCCACGTGTTTCATTTTTCGGTTTCTTCCCGACCGTTGTAACCTGCCTTTGTTCTCTGCTCGACTCTCTTGCTATTTTTCTGTGCTTTTTGCATTACTCACTATCCCCTTTTCACTACCTAAGGTTACTCTTTGTACTTGAACCGGGTTGCTCGATAATTCAGGGGTTTCGATGCGTTTGTCGGGGTCGTCGCCACGCTACTTCGCTGCTCGCCCATCGCACACCACTGGCAGTAAACAATATAACAAATCAACCAGACTCTTACCCAGTTCGTTGTCGCGTGTCTACGAGCGACGACGAATTGGGTCAGGATCTGCCGCTAAACTGCAGTTATATTAGGGAAGCTATGCCCCTGGAGGTTGGGCAGGGTGTCTTGACAAAGCGGATACCAAGAAAGGGTATCAAATTCGGCCAAGCCCGAACCCCCCATAAACAGGGTTGGACTTGACGCTATCAGATCACCTGGTCAAATGGTCAAGTGACAGACACTGTATCTGATCGCGGTCAATTGTCACAGGGACTAGATATATTGGTCAAATCCAATACATTTGAGAGTATCTAAACATGTGATGAAAGACTATATAGTTATAATGTATCGGAATTGGCCAAACTCATTGGCCCCATCCCGTGACCTGGCTCAAACTTGAGTCCAGGTCTAGATTCATATCTCTCGCAACTAGATCCTGCATCTCCAGCTCTTGGGCCATATTCTGTACACCCTGGAACCAGTAATGATTCCATGGCCCATCTAGGGTCATGTTAAAAATGTCGCGTATCATTTTACCTTGTAAACTCGTCCGCTAATTAGAATGGAGTTAAATATCAATGATAGAGTGGGATCTAGGAAGTGCTTACATGCCGAGAGTCATGTGTGTTATGGGATACTGGGAGATGGCCAGCATCTGAGTCCTTGTTGAGATTGTCCAGCAGGTTGGCCCGGAATGACAAGTATGAATGATTGGCATCATCGGGAATTGAAGATGGGTGCCCAAGCTCAGGCTCTAGGCGACTCCCTGTTGGGTCGCAGTCATTTGCTGATGGGGCATAGCCAAATGAACGTCGTATGCGCTTCCGATGTGTCCCTTCAATTGTGTGCTCGCGATTGAGGTCTAATTTGATAGCAGAGATTTTGACCATTTTTTCAACAGACAGCCGGTTTCGGGAAGGATCTTTGGTGTCACCAGTGATAGAAAAGAATCGCTCACAACTGGCAGAATTGCAAACAAAAGAGAAAATGAGGGTTGCAAGCTTTGCAACTGGGTCCGTGATGCATGCACATTGCCATGCTTTGAGTGGATTGAAGTCCTAAGGAGAAAAGACCTGAGAAATTACACATATAAAACATGGGGATTCTTACCGGAATCCGCTTGCGTAGGTTATTCTGACTCCAGTCACCACCAGTATAACCAAAGGCATCATGCGGATCCGTGAGATATGCAATACTGCGCAGGCCCAATGCCTCAGGTGCATCTGTCTCAAACACGCGGCAGTATAGCCTTTCTATCATGGTGACCAGGAGTGCAATAGAGACCATTGGTGTAAAGAGTGTAGTCTTGACAAATGGATTGAGTGCGACAGCTACAATAAAAACATCATGGTCGACTTTTTTCCAGCGGGAATCCAGACTGTCAAGAATAGCTTGGATTGGTGAAGGGTTGTTGCCAGGAGTGACCAATGCCGTAGCAGAAATATCGGTGTAGTACTTGCAGAGGCGACCAAAAATAAGCGCTACCTGATCGGCCCTAGTGTTGGAATCTTGACAAACATTGACTGCAACAGCAAGTGGCTCAATGTGCTCCTTGATCCTAAAAAGGAGTTATTTCGTAGCAGAAGAGAGATAAAGTACTCTAACTCACTGTTTCAAGTCATCCCAGAAGTGTTCATCCTGAATTATTGCAAGAATCTGCTGTGCTTTTGTGATTGTGTCACACCGTGTTCCAGCAGCCATTTCAAGTTCCTTTCTACTCCTCACTGCAATGGTTTTAAATGGAATTTCCAGTTGGATTAGCCGGCCAATGGCCATTATGTGGGATGTCCACCGAGTGATACAAGGTCTAATAAGAGCCCTTGCTCGATCTGCAGTGCGGCGTTGCTCCGCATATAGTAAATGAAGTGCAATTGAGTGATTGTTGAACCAGTTAATAACGTCGTTTGCCTCGGCCAACCTCAGTGACATCTGCCCATTTTTTTTAATGTAATCCCCAAGCACAAGCTGCATCTGTGCAAGAAATAAGTCAATGAATCAACTGCAAAGTAATCCCCACAAAATGTACTTGGTGTGCATAGCAGTCCGCTACAATCAAGTGTGGGAACTGCTCCTGCAACTGAACGCGCGCGGCCCTTGATTCTCCTGAAGCATCTGAAACCCAGCCAATGAGCTTTAGTTTGAGTCTATCCTCAATGTAGTCCTTCTCTTCCTTGATGAGTGCCAGCAACCTTTCTGCTGTCTTCCGTTCACTTGAGGTATTATGAACATGTGTCAAGCGTACCTAAATTGCGTTACATAGTCATTACAAAAAAAACTAGAAATTATTGTAACTCACCGTTCCCATACATGAGATCATGAATGCAACAATGTGATTCCTAGATGTGTCTTTCCATCCATCACATTGCCCAGTTGCATATGCACCTTCCATCATTTGAGTTAACGCTTCTTGACGGGAATTGTATTCAGCATCTAGGACCTTTCCCGATAGGCGCTTCCGAGGTGGGAGTTTAATTCCCACTAGAGAGAACAGCTTGATGACCTCTGGATCATCAACTGAGAGAAAAGACCACCCAGCTGACACAATTGCGCGAAGCAATTGTTGTTCAAGTACAGCCTGATCTAGATCTAGGGGGTGAGGTGGAATTTGTGAGAAGCTTCTCCGGCGAGTTGGAATGTTGTCTGTGGGAGGGACAAGTAGCAGAGGGGTCGGAGATGGAGATGGAGAGGTGTGGATAGTTGACGGATTTTCAGTGCTGATAGATAGCCAAGGGAGGGGTGAAGGCTGCTTCTCTCGTGCGCGTTTCCAGGCCATTCCGGCCTCACGGCCTTCAGCAGAAGCATGTGTGCATACTGTTAGGTGTTGTGCAAGCCTCGCAGTAGATCCTTGGATTTTGGGAGGGAGTTCGCTTGCTAGAATAATTTGGCATTAGGAGACGCTAAGCTGTGTTTAGACATACCAGCTGCCCTGAGTTCCACCTCACCACGTCTCTCGGATATAGCGCCCGACATCAATTTTTCCGTGTCTTCATTTTCAAGCGCTGTGATGTGTGATTCGATACACCCTTTGCATATAGCAGCATAGTGTGTCTTATTATTCCCGTAAAACTCAGACAATTTGTGAAAGAACTCCCAGAGGGGGCTAGGTGCTAGACCCATTGGTGAAGCGTGATGTAGGAAGTGGAAGGATTATTCACATTTAAAATTTTAAACTAAGCCTTAAGCACCATCAGGGTTCAAGTTGCACGGACACTTTAATTTCACAAAACTAATAAGATGGCTGAGATGGTGCTCGGAGAGCTTCACATTTAACTACAACCCACACCAAATCTTTTCGAGGGAGGGAGGGTCGGCACTGGCATGACAGTTGCCATCTCGATGCGTGCTCGCTTCATGTTCCCACGGGGATTGACCAGCAATTGACGCGGAATTGACGTGATCTGATACGAATTTGACCCGTCAGTGTCTGACCATGTGACAATTTGTGACCAGTGTCAATCCAACACTGCCCATAAACGCCCACCTGATAGTGATCAAGACGATTAATGAATGCTTTTGCTGCATCTCCGTGGATGGGCGAGCATAAAATCATTTTGGGGTTCGATATTGGTACAACATTTTCTGGAGTATCTTATGCATATCTCTTTCCAGGGTGCGTTGTTTCTACTTTTCGTGTGGCATTCTGCTTCATCTTGCCTTGTGCGTCAATAGCGGTCCCCAAGCGGTCTCAAGAGTTAATGCATGGCCAGGGCAGGGCGCCTACCGAAGCGAAAGCAAGATTCCGACCTTGGTATGGTACGACAATAGTAAGAAAGTAATTGTGCTTCACCGCTGCGTGATTCATATGTGTGTACGCTGTTTCTGACCGCTTTTGCATATCCTTTTCAATCAGGCTACCGCCTTTGGCGCTGAGGCATTAAGCGCCGAAATGCAAGATGAAGCGGAGGACAGTGGATGGACCCTCGCAAAGCATTTCAAACTTCATCTGCACCCACAGACTATGAAGGAGAAGTATAATTTGACTCTTGATCGTATGTGCTAGTCGCCGTCGCCTCCCCAGCCCAACACTCACCAATTTGGCCGCCTTTGGCACAGCCTTGCCTGACGGTGTTCCCCTTTCGACGATATACGAAGACTTGTTCGGTTATCTCATTAAGCACACTCAAGACACATTCATTCACCGTGTCCTCGATGGGGCTCATGTATGGAAGACGTATATCCCCTCTGCCGATGTTGTCATTGCTCACCCGAATGGATGGGGCTTGAGGGAACAAGACTTTATGCGTAGAGCGGTAGTGGCCGCTAATATCGTCCCCGAATCTGAATCACATGCCCGAATCTTCTTTGTCACCGAAGGAGAAGCTTCTGTCCACTACTGCATGTTTCATGCCGACCTAGTATCACAACTTAAGGTGAATGCTCCCTGCCATTCGCAACTCGACAGGACTTCATCATTCCGCCCAAATAGCCGAACGTGGAATTTGTTGTCTGCGATGCGGGTGGGTTGCCAAAATTGATTCCATCGAATAGCAATGTTAAGTTAACTTTGAGACAGGTGGGTCGACAGTCGACACAACCACTTACTCGGTGTCGGTAGTCCGTCCACAGCTTCAGCTTCGCGAAGCAAAACCATCAGCTTGTATTCAGGCAGGTGGTATATTCGTGAATAAAGCTGCAGAAGAGTACTTCAGACGCGTATTCTCAAACCCAGAGGCGAGTCTTCGGCCTGATGAAATTAAGGACTTTGTCCAGCATGCTGTAGACGATTTTGAGGCAAACGCCAAGAAAGCCTTTCAGGACAAGGACATGACCAGTAAAGGAAGTGTGGACATAGGGCAGAGTCGATACACCAATCCGGCTTTTGGTGTGAAGCGTGGGCGGATGATGTTGGATGGGTAATTTATCTCCATCTCTACAGACTAGGTATCGCTGATAAAAGCGTCCTGAAGACCAACCATTGAGACATTCTTCCGACGGGCCGTAGACCAGATTGTCGACTCTCTGAAGGAACAAATGTCTGGCATCAACTGCAAGCATATTCTGCTTGTCGGAGGATTCGGGGAGAATCTATACCTGAGAGAAATGCTCAGTAGGGTTTTTGAGATAAGAGACACCCAAATTGTTACTGCAAACGACTCCACGTGAGTTTCGATTCTTGCACTCATGACTCCTCCATGATCAACCCTTGCAGAGCTAAGGCAGTATCGGATGGTGCAGTTATTTGGCGTGCTACATCCTCAGTCGTTGCACGAGCTTGCCGCTTCCAGTACGGAAGCCCTTTGAACGTGAAATACGATTCAAAGAACCCGCTGCACAGTGGGCGCTTACCTTGGAAAGACATTGATGGACGCAGTGCAATTTCCGGGGTATGGGGTCCTATCGTCAACCGCGTAAGTTCGAAATTGTGACAAATGATGTGACATATTGGTAATGATTTATCGTAGGGGGACGTCCTCCAGCCGGATGAAGGGTTTTTGAGGGTTGTGTCCCGGAATTACAAGTCCCCTAAGCTTGGACGTGTCTCGGATGCGATATATGCCAATACCCTAATTGGTCGGGAAACGCCGTACTACTCAATCGATGAGAACGGTAAATATCAGATGGTACCTCGTGTAGATCAACGACTAAATGTTATCCCTTCAGGAAACCTTGTTCCAGGGTTTGAAGCGGTGTGCAACATTTCCGTGGACCTGAGTAGGCTGTCTGGACTTCTGAAAAAATGTCAGGGACCCAAGGGAACATACTGGCAGTTGACTTATGGGATCGGCATCGAATTCGGTGGAACAGAACTTCAAGCATATCTTGAATGGACTGAAGGTGTGAGTGTAAATACCATCTGATACCATCTTGCCGATCTTACTATAATCTCAGGGAAAGACGCACAAGAGCCCGGCTCAAATCATCCCAAACTCGTTAATGTGAATGCACTCGGTGATATGATTGAATTCCGTCGTTCAGATAATCCTTGTTTCTCATGATTTTGTTTGTCGTGAACACACTTTTCCACCGGCCCAGGATGAGGCTAGCGAGTTATCTCGATTATAAAAATTGAATGCGGGTCAACGTTATTCATAGCCAAGAACAGCAGCGAGAAGCTGCATATAACAAATTAAAGAGGGCCACTGTACTCACACGACCAACAACTGGGTCACGCGAATGCGTGGGAAAAAGTTTCGCGAAACAACCAACCGGTGACCCAGCACACCCAACCGGGCACCTGACCGGCATACTGGTTATGGAAGGCATTTTGACATGTTCATCACACTCAGCAATATTGTTCATTAATTAATTCTGAATGGTAAAAATCAAAATGCATTTGAGTTCTGTGCACCTTGCAAATTTTCAAGGATCTGTTCACCACCATGGATGGCTTTGCCCTTGCATGTCACATCTTGTTCTGCACAGAAAATCCTATCTCGTACCATAACATCCCAAGCACCCTCATTGGATCCTACTTTCCTGCGGAAAGCCCCTCTATTGCCCAGTTTCTTCAGTTCAACCTTCCCATTCTCCAGACAAGCTTACTTGGGTCAGCCACAAATCTCAGTCACCACCTTCCCTCCATCAATGAACTATCTGAATGTGACCTCCACAGGATGCATTGTCCAACCCATTCCATGATAAAAAAACTCATTTCTGAGTATTGTCAAAACTGTGACGATCCTGGTGCAGATGGGGCTCAACTAGAGGGGTTTTGAGAGCTCCAGTAGTGAGCTGGAACTTCTCCAGGAAGCCTGGGTCTGCAGGCTGATACAAGAGGCTCTAAGAAGGATGCAGCCTCAGTGACTTGGAGGGAGCACTGTGCCTCCATTATGTCTCAGTTAGTTCTTAATTTCAGATGTCTGAGGTACTGTACTGGCACGACCAACAACCTCTTCCCATGGCCTCCGGGAGTTACCAGAGCCATAAATCAATTCAATTTTGTTGATTTTCAATTCAATCCAAGACCTTCACGTGATGTGTGACAGGTTGTTGGTCATGCCAGTACAGTATCTTGTAAGAGGGGGACACGAATCACTCATAGGGGAACTTTGGGGGGTGAGTTTTAGTCGAGATTCGAACTGAGGTACAATGGGTTCTAATCTATAGAAGGCAGAGGAGAAGGACTTTAGTCAAAGTCCGAGTGATACCAAAAGGTACTGAGAGGTTCCAAATGATGTCTTTAACGGGGAACCAAGGTGTTGGGTTGAGGAGGGCAGAGTAGAAGACTGGAGGATAAATGGGAGCAAGAAATGGGTAAGGGGAAGTTAGCTGACTGAATGGAAAGAAGACATCAGTCGTACTATAATTGGAAGATGATGAGAGCGGGGTCACCGGAGGATATGGGTAGCTCTGAAGCCAGAGTTACATATCCAAGGAATGTTGGGTGACTCCACTAAATGGAATGGAGAGAGGAAGGGTTTAGAAGTATATAACGAAACATTGGAGGTCCGTTGGGAGGTCAGAGCAATCTGGGGATTCCAATGGTACTGACTCAGGACTGAGCTTCCGGGATGGAGGTGGCTAAGGGTGAATGTGCCAAAGTCCAGGCTGGAGCTGGGCAGTTGGGATGGAGGTGACGTTGGGAAGTAGGGAGGAATGGCATAGGGGATGATGAGGTTGTTAGGAAGGTGAAGTGGGGTGGGAGAGTGCAGGGTCAGGATTCCAGGATATGACAAGTATGATGCTAATCTCCACAACCCACCCTGCTCAGTTAAGATCAATTCACGCTATGTCCCTATTGACATCTTGCAATATGGGAGACCTTATTGCACTTACAGAATCTCCAGCAGGCATGGAAGGAGTCAGAAGTGCATGCCGAGATGATGGTAAGGCACACCCCACACAGGAGCATTCTATCCAGACAACCCATAAAAGGCTCCTTCTATGTTGCTGGAACACTAAGATCCTGGGATTCTCAAAGTCAGTATCAGGGGCCTGATGCGCTACCTCTCCATATCCTGCCTCATGACAACTGACATTGCAATCCACCTCAAACTTTTGGGTATTGATCTAAAGAGTGGAGATGTAAGGGCATGTCTCCTGAGCCCACTTGATGTTCAATACCTATCCAGATCTTTTAGATGCAAGAGTGAGAACCGGTTGGAATGATATAGAAGTGAACATACTTGCAAGGCCCTCCACCTGTTGGGGTCTGAGCTCATATCAGGATCTGCAACCCAGTTCAGCAGAATTATGCATGTCAATGATACTCATTGGATAGCATTCATTATTTGTTCCATGAAATCAACAATTTACCTTGCTGATTCTTTATGCCAGCCAATGGAGGACCACAATCCATCTTGCAATGCCATTGAAATTCTCCAATGGTGGTTGGATGTTACGGATACAGAGTCTCCAACGACCATATCCGTCACATAGTCAAAGACGTCTCCTCTCTATCGCTCCCCCCTCTTTCTCCCTTTCGTCCTCTATCCTGATACCCTACCCTCCTACTCGTTCTACCCCTTTCCCCCCCCTCATGCAAAGCTTTCCCCATTGGGGTTTTGGTGCTGGCCAAGGCTACTTGTGTTTTGCGGGATTTCCCACGACCTTACCATTTGTAGATAGTCACACATCTTGTACAGAAACCGCTGAAGGCGGTTCCCGCTAACTAACAACTACTCTCTACAACTGTCTTGTGTGTCGTCTTCTGTACAACCCATCCTGTGACTCAACTGAACCATGTGACTGTACAACTCACAACATGTAAGTCTGGTTATGTCGAGTCCTCTAACGGTCCTCACCGTGAGAACTCGAGGTCGTGAGTCGATGACTCTCGACCTGTGTATCATCCTATGGAATCTGTACCCTACGGGACTTCATCACTCCACTCTCCCCCCAGTGCTCAACAGACAACGTCACATCATGATCTTGGAGATCGTGAATACTCTGAGGTCCACTTTCCCGTGATGCTGGCACGTTCGCTATGCGAACGCCAAGTAGCCGCCCATCCACCATCTGTTCCCTCCTTCGTCAGTCATCATATTCCCCCGCCAACAGTACATTCCCTTTGGGAACACCAAGTCACCGAAGGCCCCGTTAGTCAATCCTCATTGCACGCTCATGATATCAACCCGCTACCGGTACGTTCGCACTGCGAACGCCAAGTACCCAATGGCAGTTATATGAAGTTCTCACCCACCTCACGAGTTGTGACCTCGCACACAGTATGCTCCATTGAGGAGCGCCAAGTACCCATGGCTGACCCATCTGTCATGACGTCTCTGACTACCTACCAACAATTCCTTAATAGCTCACTACATCACCAATCATGATCGATGGGAATTTGATCGTCCACTCCCTTGCAAGACTGGGATCACTCATCGATTACATATCCCGTTATGGTACAGACTAGATATGACGTTCGTCATCCCGCTATAAGAACGGATCGAGGATTGGGGATTTCCCCCCATCCCCGTAACATTGGATGTTTCCTATTCTGAATCAAATCACCCTTCAAGACCTTTTCAACTTGCATGGCTACCAACCACACCAGAATGATTCTTCCTCATGTGGTTTCTTCACTCTCAACGCCCTAATGCATCATCTTCTCCCAAAAAAATACTTGCACACCACAAATGACCATGACAATGCAGTGGCCCTGTGTGTTGAGTTTTTAAAATCAATTCTTGATCATCACAACACACATGTATGTACCACAAACTTATGACAAAATGCTCCTGTTAACATTGCTGACAATGACCACCCAGGTAGCAAGATCTAAGGTGACCACAGGTCCCGAAACAGTAACAAATGTCCCAGAAGCCATAGCCCCTGTAAAAGTGGCAGCAGCAGCCATGATCCCAAATTCCAAGTCCAACATGAGCAAGCAGGAGGAAAAGGTGCACCTGAATCTCACCATCCAGGAGCAAGACAAAGGCCATGGCCTGCTACGTTTCTTCAGCCCTACAAGTTGTGAGGAATATGATCATCAATCAGCTGAGCAGCTTGAGTGAATCAATGAGAGAACTGAAGAACGTTGGATTTCTGCATGTCAGGGCACAGCCCCTGACCCCACACACCCTCAGGTACAGTTGCGGACAAGCAAACACAAGAAAAATTTCCTTGATTATGAATTCTCATGATAAAAGCCCCATTTTTTGTCAAATTGTCATAATTCGTCAATTCCAATCATTCTCCATGCCCAGAAGTCCATAAATCGAGCTTTTAATTTCTTGTGAGGTGCGAAAATTTTGCAGGCAGCTAAAAAATAAGCACTGGGACTCAATCTTAGGCTCATTTGATAGTTTTGATAGCGAAGATGATGATTATGAGCAAACAGAAATATGGGAAGCCAAATTAAGGCATAAAATGGGGATGAGCCAATTTGCTTCCGACCCAACTACAAGCGCTGATGCACATACTCCATATTGCAACATGTCAATCCTCAAGTGTCTGAGCTGTGCATCCAAGTGTCCCATTCTTGGCATCCAAATCCAAAGAAAACTTATGATGACATGCTGGAGGAATTCTGAAGGAAAATCAGTGTTGTGGCAACTCTTGTTGATGAACTAACATACCGTCCAAAGGATGGAGTGAGTTATGCAACAGCAAAAAAGAGGATTGAGATGCAAAGAAGGGGGAAGGTGAGCTTAATTTTAATTTATAGTTCCTGTATGAACTCTACCACAAGGGGCTGACTGGGAAAGCAGCTGCATGGGTGGCTAAGAAGCAGAAAAGCCACTGTGCTGTATCAGAGAGCACTATGGCAGCTATGGATGAAGTTCGACGGTCATTGTATTTTATGTGAACCAAGGACTGACATATATTCTGCTCTAAATACATTTCACTATGTCTTGGTATGATAAAAACGCTCAAAATTATTAGGTAAATTTTGAAAATTTGGGCTCAAAATTTTGCAGTGGCTAAAAAACATAGATAAAAATCCAAAGATTGCATTTTTGAGCATATTTCGTCTAAAGTGTCAGGGGACGGACCCCAGGTCCCCATGACCCCTCTCTATGGCCCACAGCCTAACCTATGAACAGCCCTACTGTGGGTAAGAAAGTGATATAAACAAAGGGGCAAGTAGATACACTTGCCTACTGTGGGTAAGAAAGTGAGAAGAAGGTTAACTTCTCACTTTCCCACAGTGGCCCCAATATGGCGAAAACTTCCGGGGATACCCGGAAGTCACATGAGGTGGGATCCGGGGTCGGATCATGCAGCACACGGAGCGTGCAGCGCAGGAAGTGCGTGGGAAGTGGAGCGGGTCCGGACGCGGGTCCGGGTCCGGGCTAAGTCAGGGTATGTGCCCTGACATAAAGGTAT